TCAACGCAATTTTTGGCAAAGCATTTTTAGATGACATAAGTATGAGCATGAAAATTTAGAGTTTAGAACTTACCTGAAAGAAACTCAAGCACCAAAAAATCCTAGATTCGCCCCTGGACCTTGCATACATTTAGGAAAACAACAAGAAGGTGCATCACATATCAATACTTTAAGTTTAACATTAAATTTTTTATTCTTATAGTATAAACTTTCACTAGATAACAATAAAAGTTCTTTATTAAAATCATTGAGAAACACATCTAAGCAGTTTAGTTTACAATATCCACAGAAAAGTGCAATTATAGAATTATAATTCTATATTAAGATTTAAAAAGAGGTAGCCCGTCAAAATTATCAGTAACAGATAACTCAATATATCTGTTATTATCATTTTTTGTATTCAAAAAAATTATGTAAGTCATCAGCAAAATATGCATAAGTTCTGTCACACTTCTAATTTACTAGATAGGAACAGAAGATTATCTACTGTAAAACTTTAGAGGGTTTTAAAAGAGTTCTTCCATCTTTTGGCAGCTTTGAATGACCATGTATTTTGACAATATTCAAAAGTTCGTTTAAATTACTTTAAGAAATTTTGCTTTTTGATGACCACCTTGCCATACCTTCTGAAAGTGTTTGTGTTGTCAATAGTGTTGGTGCATTAAAACATTCAAAACTACAACTGTAAAATAAATCGTTTACTCTACATTCTTTAAAAATTATAAGTGGCTTAAAAGTAATAAATAAAAGTGGCTTCGCAAAGTATTTCAGGCTCATAAGAACTTAGTGTTGTGTCATTACAAAATTCAACATTTATTCAGGCAACAATGCTACATTCGATTTTCAGTTACCATGTTATCTATATAAAACTTTTTTTACGAGAACAATGTTAAAAGAAAATAAGTATAAGTTTAAAAGTATTAGTTCGATTTGGTTTTAATTATACTCATTTGATTTATTAACGAGTTTATTGATGTCAAAATTTTAGTCGCACTTCTGTGGTGAAGTCTTGTTTTTTCTCTCTAATTTTTTATTTAAGCTATTCATTTATCTATGCATCAGCCAAATTTCGTTGAAAAATAGTTTGTAGCAGTCACCCTATATATATAAATGATTTACTATATACAAATTTTTATATTATTTTGTAAACATAAAGTTTATTAAATTTTTGTTTAAATGAAGTTGCTTTAGAGATGATCAGTCAGTTATATCCCTATTATATGATTTAATAATATAAACGTGCCATAAGTGCGCAATTTATGCATAAAAAAATAATTTGTTTTAATTACTATCACAGCAAACATTCTTGCTGCGGTTTTAGAGCGGACCTATATAGACATTTTAAGCAGTTTATTGGAGTTTTGCTCATTGCTTACTTAATTGACCATTAGTGACATCAACGATAAGTGGCTTGCCAATAACTTTCCAACCTTTTTTGGCGACTGCCACCAATAGTCCACTTAGTAACCGATGAGCAAAACCGTGAAATACATTGCAAAGACAGACATCCGCTCAAAAAATTTTGAAAAGAGTAAAAACTTGGATATTCTTAACAAAGTTTGTTATAATAATTTGTGCACCAAGAAATCTTTTTTTTTCCATCTTTTTAAATATTTTCACAAACAAAAATATTTTATTTTGTATAAAAAGAATTATTTTTATATTAATAAAGAGGAAAAAATTGAAATTTCAAAAAAAAGTTCGAGGGTGATTTACAATACATAAAATATAAATATAATTAATAATTAAAAAATAAAATATAATTAGTACAAACAATAAACTCCTGGTTACTCGAACCGGGACTTATTCGAAGTTCTCGGTTATTGGAAGCAAGATTTTTTCTCCATGAGCTTTTTTTAACAGACTAACGCACTCAGTTATTCGAAATCTCAGTTATTAGAAGTAAGTTTTTCTACCCCGTGGAGGTTCGAATAACCAAGAGTTTACTGTATCTTAAAAATTATATATTATTATTACTAAATGATTTAATTCTGTTTTTTGCATTTACAGAAACTTGAAGAACTTCAAAAATATCTGTTGCCTGTTGCAATCTGTTTTATAGTATTGATGGTGGTAATAATTGTGATAGCAAATGCATGCAAACAAATTTACTGCTTCTATACTCACAAAAGTATTTTAGATAAAACACAGTATGAAGTTTTTGCTATTGGCAAAAGTAAACACTTTGTAAAAGAGCTGTTAGTTAAAAAAATCCACATATGGAGTTATACGGCATTGATAGTTCCAACAATTCCAGATAATGAGAAAGTTTTTGAAGTTATAGTTTGCTTTTGTAAAAAAGCAGAATTCAAGGCTATAAATAACGATAGGAAAGACTTTAAATCCGTTAATGTTTCTATCGATGCATCGGATACAAAATCATTTTATAACGAAACTTCTGAAACAATTAAAAATAATATTTATTTTGAATTCAACACATTTAACTCATCATGCCCAATTTGCTTAGAAGAGTTTAAAGAAGATGAAAAAGTTTACATATTGCATTGTAAGCACGGTTTCCACGAAAAATGCATTTGTACCGCCCTTTTCTTCCATACCAAATGCCCATGCTGTAAAAGTAATTCTAGCTTTAAAAGTATCACTTTATCCAAAAATCTATTTGATGAACATAAACATAGTTACGGTACAGTTCAAAATGCTTTTATGCTCCGCAGAGTGTGAAAAAATAGATATTTTCTTAAAACAATTATTTTTATGTTACAAATGGGAAAAAGTGGATAATATTCACAGTAAATCTGTGTATAAATAAAATGCGTCTATAATAAAACAAATCTTTAGTAAGTATTTAGTTCGACTTAAAACTAATTTACGAAATTGCTTTTTGAATAGCTTTTTACATCTAGTAATTTTTTGAGGTTTTAACATGAAGTTTTTAGATAAATGATATTTTTGTGGTTATGCATGCGACAGTCGATAAATATACTTCACGATATCTATTTTTCACGATATTTACTATATATATTTTTTATACAGTTTATATACATACTTAATATTTAACAAATACGATATTAAAAAAAACTTCTTTAGAAAATGTTCAGTTAAAATATCTCATTTTCCATTTGAAATCTAAATATTAACTATTAATTTTCGTCCGCAGTCTGTATATTAACTGTATGCTAAGTAAAAACAAAACAAGATAAAATGGCTTTAAAGTATAAAGCGAGTTTTGAGCTTTATTTATTATTGGTATTAATCAAGGAGGTTCAACAAACCTCCTTGGCATTAATGAAGTAATAGTGTTCATTCATCTTACTTTTAAAAGGAAAAGGTACAATACGTATACACGATATTGCGATACGCACTCAGGGGCGGATTTAGCTTTTTTTTTGAGGGGTGCTGGCAAATATGTGCTGTGCTGCGACGACGAGGGGGTTTTCCATTAACCCCTTCCCTCCGCGCTTTGCGGAGGGAGGGAGTATCATATAAAAAAAGGGGTGTCATATAATGAAAGGGGGTGGTCATATAAAAAGTTTTTATAAAGTACGAGGGAGGAGGTCACCCAAAAGCGTACAAGTTTGTTTAAGAGGTGTTCAAGGCAACGAATAGTAGTTTGACTATATTTTTCATCAACTTTTTTAAAAATATTCAACCTCCTTTTTTATCAATTGAAAAAGCTATATCCCTCAGGGTCTTTTACCTGTCTGCTCGTCTTTTTATACCCTTTAAATTGCCCGTATTTTGATTAAATAATCAGGTCAGAAAGGTTGCAATTCTTATAAACATATCAATTTTATATAAATAATATTACTTTGTGTGCAAAATAATGCAGTGACTTTATTTTATTAGCAGTAATCAACTTTTATATCAATAACAATTAAATAACAGGGTTACCACTAATGAAAATGATAATAAAAATAATTACTCTCGCCTGCCTAATAAACGGGAGGGGACGTTTATTAATTTTTTCCCGACCCCTCGGAGCTTATTAGGACCCCCTCCCCCTTCCCCTCCCCCCCCCATTATTAATTTTGAAACAATATAAAATATTTTTGCAATTTTTACTTTGAGAAAAATATTTCTCGCAATAATAAGTGAAAATATGAACAACCAACCAAAAAAATTTTAAGACGACCCTTCGGTTTATTAAGATCCCCCCCTCCCCCGTTTATTAGATTTTAGGGCCTGTTTATATGGACAAGGGCTAGCTCGTTTGCCAAACTAGCCCGGAAAACGAGTCAGTTTTAGGGCCTGTTTATATGGACAAGGGCTAGCCCGTTTGCCGAGCTAGCCCGGAAAACGATTCAGTTTTAAAATTGCGTTTATATGAATTTTGTCATCTTTCGTGCCGAAAAAAAAAAAAATGATATCGAGGTCAGCCTGGCAGGGCTGGCCTCTTTATCGGTAAAATAATAATTTTAAAGATGGCGGCTACCGACAAAAAAACACATTGCATTTTAACAACATGTTTAACTAATGTTATAACACAAATAACGCTTCTTAAAAGCCTAATATTGTTATATAAACTTCACAAATTTAAACTTGATAATTTTTTTAACATTCTTCTTCTACGTAAACAATCACGATCACTTCAAAAGATAAAACAAGCAAGAGAGAGGCGCCTTAAAAGAAAAAATCGTAGTTGCTGGTTTAAAACTGGCAGAACTGATTTATGGTGGCATAATATAATAACTGATGTAGCTCCCAGTAATGTATGGAAAACAAATTTTAGGCTTTCACGTTTTCTTTTCATGGATTTGGTTTTAGAGTTAAGCCCTTATTTATCTCCTGATCCTTTTTCACCTAACTCTAGAGCTCTATCAGCAGATAAAAAAGTAGCTATCAATTTATATTACTTGAAAGATACGGGATCTTTGGGAATGCCTGCAAATACTTTTGGAATTGCAGTATGCACTGCTTCTGCCGTTATAATTTCAGTTTGTAAGGCAATATCAAAGTATCTTGGGCCTAAGTATCTATTTCTTCCAAGAAATCAAACTGAAATGTGAAATAAAGTTTCAGAGTTTGAAAGTAAATTTGGAATGACACCAGCCTTCGGATGCATCGATGGCACCCTTATTCCTATTCGTTGTCCATTAACTAACTCACAAGACTTCTTTTGTTATAAGCAATATTTTTCTCTTAGTGTTCAAGCTGTATGCGATTACAAAGGCTATTTTATGGATGTTGAGTGCATGTGGCCAGGTAGTGTACATGATGCTAAAGTGTTTGCAAATTCAACAACAAATATAAAGTTAAGAAATGCTATTCTTCCTCAAACATTTCAAAAACCAACAAAAAAAGGAGTGAAGATACCTAATTATCTTATTGGCGATCCAGCCTATCCATTACTACCATTCTGTATAAAAGAATATGAACATTGCTCAAATAATGAAGAGGAAATTTTTAACAACATGCTTAGAGCAGCACGAAATCCTATTTATTGCGCTTTTGGTCGCCTTAAAGCTAGATGAAGTATTTTAACAAGAAAGGTTGACCTTAAACTAAAGGCTGTTCTTACTGTTTTTTTATTTATGTTTGTTTTGTATTGCATAACATTTGTGAAAGAACAAATTCTTATAATGACGATGAACTAGTAAAATCACAAACAGATCTCCTTAAAAAAACCCGAAAGAGAATACAAAAATGTACCAAATCCAATATATTCTATACATGAAGCTGAAGGATTCGTTATACGAAGAACTCTTACAGACTTGATAAATTAATATATATATATATACAAATATAAATATATATACATATATATATATATATATACATATATATATATATATATATATATATATATATATATATATATATATATATATATATATATATATATATATGTATATATATAAATATATATATAAATATATATATATATATATATATATATATATATATATATATATATATATATATATATATATATATATATATATATGATATATATATATATATATATATATATATATATATATATATATATATATATATATATATATATATATATATGTATATATATGTACATATATATGTATATGTATATATATGTATATATATATATATATATATATATATATATATATATATATATGTATATATATATATATATATATATATATATATATATATATATATATATATATGTATATATATATATATATATATATATATATATATATATATATATATATATATATATATATATATATATATATATATATATATATATATATATATATATATATATATATATATATATATATATATATATATATATATGTATATATATATATATATATATATATATATATATATATATATTATATATATATATATATATATATATATATATATATATATATATATATATATATATATATATGTATGTATATAAGTAAATCAATGACTGACCTGTTTTCCAGGTCAGTCATTGATTTACTTACGGTGTTAATACTTTCTGTAAAGCATTTTGTCGATTCTCGCATTATCTCTGCCGTTTCTTTTCTAAATTGAGTATCGTCCCTAGCTTCTTTAAGCAGTAGTTGGTCGCGTTGGGTGGCACTTAAATTTCGTTCCAAGTGCTTTCTTTTGTTGTCAATTAGTTGTGGTATACAGCTTTTTCTTTTTTTAGGGTTACCTGCCGTATCACAGCTGATGACTGACACTAGATCTTCTGATAAGTCTTGATCAATCGAAAAATTAGTTTCTTCGTTTTCAATAAAATCATCACTTTTAGCACCAAATGTAAGTGGCTCAATATTGGCTGAACCACCCCACAAGGAGATGAGCTGGTCGTAAAACTCTAATATAATTTTACCACTTTCACTTCGACTGCCGCTCACAACTGCTTTCGAAAACTTTTGTCGGATTTCTTTCAATTTTTCTTGAACTCGTTTAGTCCCTCGTTTTACTACTTCATTTGAGTCCTTATTATTTAAAGTATCGATGGCAACAGGCCCAAAATATAGCTCTTCATCTTTATTATAGAGCGCTGCCATAGATAAGCAAACTTCTCTATATAAACCAACTTTATCGGCATCAAAGTCAAGGTTTTTATAAAGCATCCTTGCTTTATAGCTGATAGCACAATTTATAAGGTTCTCTACCATATTATGATATCATTTAAAGTTTTTTCTTTTTGTTTTATCAATGAAATCAGCCATTTTGAGTGAAAGTTGTCAGCAGTATAATTTTAAATGCAAATAATAAAATTGAAATTTAGTTATAAATTATAAAAGCAAAACAATTAAAGTTTTAAGCACGCGGAAGTGTTGTAAGCACACGGAAGTTGCCGGTTATTAAGTTTATTATTATACGCGAATTTAAGAAATGAAAGATTTGTACGCATGCGTAAAAATTTATATAAGAAATTAGCTAGCCCGTTTGCCGAGATCTCGGCAAAAAACAGTGAGATCTCGCTATCCGGGCTAGCTCATTTATTCATATAAACGCAAAAAAAAATTAAGTTGAAATAAGGTTGACGTCGATATCTTGGCAAACGTGCTAGCTCGGCTAACGAGCCAGCCCGCTTTCCATATAAACAGGCCCTTAAAAAAATTTCCGATACTCCTATTTATTAGGACAACCCCCTCCCCTGTTTATTTGGCAGGCGAAAATACTGTACGAAAGTAATTTCGTGTACATAAAAATATTTTGTATGCAAAGTAATGCAGCAACTATTTATTGGCAGTAATCGACCGTTATACGAAAAATCAATCAATAATGATACAATAATTTCATGAACCCAAACAATGAACACACAATTTATTTATTATTTGTATGGCATATAACATAAACTAGGAATAGCATAAGAATTGAACAGTAAAACCCAGTTTTAAAATGTTAAAAGTAAACAAATTTCTTACCCTAACTGTACTAAATTTCTTTTTCTAAACTGTTAGCTTATGACCAATAAAGTAAATTTCAAATCATGAAACTTTGATAAATTAAAACCATATTTCAACTGAAGGAAAACTAAAAAAAAATAGTAGAATAGTTACAAAATAAAGAACTGATCAAAAAAACTGTTAATAAAAATCTAGTTTCAATGAAACTCAAAATTTGATTCTAATATGATCTTTAAACAGAAACTTGAAAAAAAAAAATAAAGTAACCATCTAGTTTAACTTCTAAAAACACCTGTGTCATGCACATTATATTGCAATTATAACACAATTGTATTACAACTCACTATTAAAAATAATTATTTATACTATGATATAATAAATTTATGCACATAATATACTTAAAATATATAATTATACACAATAATTATTTACAAATTGTAACAACAATAATAACAATAATAATAAACTTTTACACTAAATACATTAATAATAGTGAATAGATTTAATAACATTATATATAATGTTATTAATGTATATATATAACACTGTTTATAAATAAAATTATGTAACAGTAATAAAATAAAAGTTTCATGATATTCAGAGTTTCATGATATTCTGGGGTCATTTATTTTCCAAGGATATTCCCTAAAAATATAAATAAAAATGTAATAACAGACTTATTTTTAAATCCAGTTATAATTTAACTTTAGTTAAAATTAAACTATAATTTTAACTATCAATAATGCTAATTTATTAATAATGAAAACTTTATAATTATGTCTGATAACTCAAACTTTTACTAAGTCAGATTTTTAATTCCCATTGAACTTTCTATACATACCGAGAACTTCCCCTAACTCTGACATTCGCTTAAGTCTGACTATTTATCTATTCCCCTTGAGAGTCAGACTTAACAAGATTCTACTGTATATTTTTTGAAGTATAATTTAATGCTTTAAGGTGAGTTTCCACTTTTCCGTTTTTTCACAGGAACGGGATAGGAAAGGGAAAAATAATCACGTGAGCATGCGTAGTTTTCTTTCAGACACATTAAAACTTATACTGCGCATGCCCACGTGATTATTTTTTCCTTCCCTTTCCCGTGAAAAAACGGACTCGCCTTAAATAATACAAAAAAAAAACAACTGCAGAACTTTTTAGGACCACTATTTAAATTACTCTATAAAATATATAAAACAGTAAACAATATATGTATATTATATTATTAAATAAAACAGTTTAAATTAGATTAGAATTTAAAATATCCACAAGTTTCATTCTGCAAGGATTTTTCCTAGCAAAACAATCAATCACTTCATACACATCAATGCTGATATCTTGGTGAACGTGCATAAAAGCAAGACTATTAAATCTATTCTGTGACATTGTGTTATGTAGATAGGTTTTTAAACGACGAATAACAGAGATTGATCTTTCGCAAGTGCATGTTGTTACTGGAATAGTTGCAAGAATGTGAATTAAGGTAAATATATATGGAAAAGTTATTTTATCAATAAGAGGAAGGAGTTTGGTTTCAGTAGTTGGAAGGGAATTTTTAAAACTACGCCAATAATCTTCCCACATGCTCAATTCGGTCATGATATAGCGTGGTTCCAGAAGTTTATCCTCATACTCATTTAAAAAAAGAAGAAAGTTGCTTCTCCATTCAGCAACATTTAAAACGTTAGTTGGCATTGCAAAGAATCCATTATAAATAACAATGTTTCTATTAGAAAAACGTAATTAAAACTGGGATGATAAATGGTCAAGAAAAGGAATTGTAATAACTTTCTTGTAATACTTATTAATAGATTCACTTGGACAATTATTTCGATTAAGCTGTTTTCCTATCGTACGAGGCTTGTGCTCATAAACACCAACACTAGCTGCCAATACAACTGCCTCACTATACCAAGCACCATGACTGTGTTCAATGTCTGATCTTAGTCGCTGTAAAGCAAGATGTAACAAATTTACTTTTTCATGCGATGCAAAAACATCAAAGTTTGGAAATTGAAATTGTTTTGTAATTGGACTTGTTACTTCCAAACAGTCGGACACCACTACTAAAGTAACAAGAAACTAGAAAGATCTAGTAGCAAAGAAATAACTATTTGCATCACGCACTGAGTCATGATTCCAAAACTTTTCATTGCTATTAATCATTAGCTCAAAGCATTTAATTATTAGCAGGAAGTACCTCTATAAACACATCTAAACCATCAATTCTGGCAATCCATTTTGTACGACATACATCTATTAGACGAGAGTGATGAGCTTTTGGAAACATTTCTTCAATTTTTTTTTTCAGAACATTAAAACGCTTTGGACTAAAATTAAAGAACTGAGATATAACACAAACATTTGACATCATATTGCTAACTATTTGTATGTTACAGGCATTTGCAACACAAAGATTGAGGACATGAGATCCACAATGAACATACAATGCTTATGGATAAATAATTTTTATTCTTACTGCAGCACCCGAACAGTTCCCAGCACCGTCATAACCTTGACCAACACAAAATTTTATTTCTAATCCCAAATCTTTAATACTATTCAAAATTTGGCTGGCTATAGCTTCTCCAGACAAACTTGAGTCGCAAGGAATAAAG